CGTATGGCTGAGCTCGGGGGATATGTGTGGGAAAACGTGGAGTGCTTCGTCTCATAGTGCCGCTTTATATTGCTGCTTTTGATGAGAGCGACAGTCTCGGAGCAAATGAGACACACGGGTTTTGCGCTGTCAGCAAGTAAAACGAACAAGTACGTGTCAGTCCATTCTTGTTTAAAAACTCTGTTTTCCGCGTCTACCTTCCTCTGTTTTGAGCACGCCATTTCACTTTTCTCTCGCGTGTTCGCGCTGCTGATCACTCTCCGTCTTCGCCTGTTTCGCTGCCTGCTTCTCTCTGACTTGCCGGTGTTTAAAAATAGCTAGCACTGGCAGCAGCACTACGCGCCACACAGTTCATTGGCTGACCGAATCACGTGTGGCCCCTGGCTGAAGGGACGCCCCGCCCGGTCGGCCCTCACCAACACCAGAAGGAGCGGCGCAAAATGAAGTTAGAATAGACGCGGTTGGAAAGCCTGCATTATTATTATTAATATTTTTAAAGCAGGTTGGGGGTCCGGATCCGGACCGAGGTCCGCCGTTTAACGACCTCTGGTGTAGACCAATCAGAAAGGAAGGGGGAGGGAGCTTGGGTTGTTTTTTTTCAAATCAAGTACCTCTCTGTCTCTCTTTCTGACAAACTCTAGACAATCACTTTAAAGAACAAATGTACAATATTGCACAACACCTGGATTCGAAGTTAAAACATACCTCCATGACAAACAGATGCCCTTTCATGGGTTTGCACGTGTGTGAGCATTTGTGCTTCTCCGCCATGTTTAAAACAGGTTACACACGTGAGCGTGTTCCCCTGCTTCAGCACTGGAGCATGATTCCCATCACTGACAATAGTCGGATGCAACTGAAAGCAGACATAAACATCCATTTGTGCACACTCAGAAACACAAATATCTTGGAACATCATCCAATAACTATGGTCAGTGACTTCTGTAACTGTGATAGGAAACATCGTGAGCTACATCACATAATTGCCTAACTAATTCTCCACTGTTCTTGGAAAACATGTAAAGAGTTATGTTTTTCTCCTTATTACCATTTTAACGATGCAAAATGACTTGGGCAATATTATATTGTATATATTATACTATGTACCTATTATACTATGTACCTGACATGTCGATGGCACATGGACTCTTAGAAGAAACCCATACGAATTGCTTTCTCTGCAATGTATTAGTTAACTTCTTAAAAAACATTTCTAGTCAGGGTGATGTGCATTTATTCATTAATACACTGTAACTTGAGGGACGGCCTAAAAATAAATAAAACACGTTGTTGGTTGACACTTACTGTTTGCGTACGGTCTGCCATGTCTTCTCTTCAACGGATATACTTGCAGAAGTTCAAGTGGATTCAAAATTCATGTAGTAGGCGTGTCGGGTAGTGACGTCACTACCCGACACGCCTACTACTCGACACGCCTCCGTACTGCAAGCCGCAGACAGACCCTTCTCGTCTGTCTGCGATATTTGTGTTTCTGAGTGTGCACAAATGGATGTTTATGTCTGCTTTCAGTTGCATCCGACTATTGTCAGTGATGGGAATCATGCTCCAGTGCTGAAGCAGGGGAACACGCTCACGTGTGTAACCTGTTTTAAACATGGCGGAGAAGCACAAATGCTCACACACGTGCAAACCCATGAAAGGGCATCTGTTTGTCATGGAGGTATGTTTTAACTTCGAATCCAGGTGTTGTGCAATATTGTACATTTGTTCTTTAAAGTGATTGTCTAGAGTTTGTCAGAAAGAGAGACAGAGAGGTACTTGATTTGAAAAAAAACAACCCAAGCTCCTCCCCCTTCCTTTCTGATTGGTCTACACGCTCTTACCGGAAGTATAGCATGCGCCTCGCTCAGTCTTTGTCTAGCGTCTGTGGAGGTAGGTCACGTTTTTGCACTCTGCATGATTTCGGTTTTAAATGTTATTTATGTTGTTACAAATGCAAATGTACAAGTCAGAGCCTTTTGAATCCATGTTTTAAGTCTGTAGTTTACAGTGATGGGCAGTAGCGACGCTACTAGCTTAACTCGCTACGTTTTTCAGTAGCTTGACGGTAGCGTCACTATTTACAAATCCAAGTAACTTTTCTGTAGCTAAGCTATTTTTTTGAGCAAGTAGCGCGGTAGGGTCCTCCAAAGCTGTTTTCTCACGGACATTTCTGATGTTCATATACTACAGCATTTTCCCGCTGCCAAAAACAAAGTAGGAAGACGGAATGTTTAAGTGTGCAGGCCTTAAGCCTAGTGTTTCTACTGTAGGTTTATGTGATAGTTTTATGGATTCATTATTTTATAAGTCATTTCAACTGTGATGCTGTGAATAAAGACACAGTTCTGTTGGAAACATAGTTATTATTAAATAGTTTTCAGCACAAACAGCAAAACAATAATAGTGGTAAATATCTGAGACAAACATGAACGATTTACGAGTGTATATATGTTAGATATAAGTTATATATATGTTAGATATAAGTTATATATATGTTAGATATAAGTTATATATATGTTAGATATAAGTTATATATATGTTATATATAAGTTATATATATGTTAGATATAAGTTATATATATGTTAGATATAAGTTATATATATGTTAGATAGTCCACAGTCTCCTGTATATCAGGCTCTGAGCCCAAACTGCTTTTCCTTCGAAGCACAAAGCTCTCTGCTCCATAGTGCCTCGTCCATGCTCCTGCTGCAGCCGCTCCGTGCTTCCTTCCAATACACACACACGGACCAATCACAGCGGAGCTTCCTTGCGGCGACCTTTACGTAGTTAGAAAATGTCGATGCTGCGCGGCAGGCAACGTAAGGGCCTTGCGGTGACCAACGCGTTGCGCAAGTGACGTCACGTCACCTCCGTAAGCTCCGCGCTGCGCAAGTATAAACTAGGCTTTAGTGACGACGCATACACTCGCGTACACGCACGCACACACTCATGCGCACGCACACACTTGCACGCTGTTGGAGGGAGACAGGACGGCAGGAGCCGCGGTCTCGGAGGACTAAACTGAGGCCTGGACTGCACCGGGCGCGTCTCCGTTGACGCGCGTTGGCTGCTGTCCGTCGGACGTCCATAAAAAAGACTAGTGGTCAAACCGGCTGCAGCAGCAGCAGCTCTGGCTGTGCGTTTATCAGCCTGCTTTGTTTTTGTAGGAGACATGTTTGGGCATTGTGTGAATAAATGAATGTTTGGCTGATGGAGGAGTCATGTGTTGTCGGCGTACATGTGTGCGTGTGAGCGCCTGTGTGTGTGTGTGGTGGGAGGCGCGTGTGTGTGCGTGCATGTGTGTTTGGGCCTGTGACCGCAGCGATTATTATGATCCAGCCTCTTCGTTTGTTTTCTATACTTATTTAGCGCGTCATACACTTTTATCGGACCCAACTCGCCTCTCCGCGGCTTTAGGCAACAGGCAGCCGCTATAGTTTTAAATAGAAGAAGCGGTGTGTGATTTGAATGAGCTGTGGCTATGATCAGTGCAAAGCACAGCATATTGAAGCATTGAGGACGTCGCGATGGATGAAGCAAAACTTATTGAAAGCAATTGGAAAAAGGGGAGAGAGAAAAGAACTCTAACATATCCTGTGTGTGTGTGTGTGTGTGTGTGTGTGCGGAGAGAGCGCCTCGCAGGTAGAGGGGACAGAGCAAGCCCCGGCGATCCAAGATGGCGCCCTATTCAAATGAATGGTTGTGCTCAGTGGCGCTTTGTGACGGCATGGGGGCTGAAAGATTAGCGGAAGTCGCCTGGAACTCTCAAAGATCTATGGGAAAGTCGCCTGTATTTGGGCATCGTCTGGTCCTCCCGGTTCTGTGCAGTGTATTATCTCCCATAATGCGTTGCACTAAACACGCGTGTGTGGGTCTCACACCGGGTCTCACGCACGTGCACAGAGGGGCTCGGCCGCGCTCTGACCAATCAGAGCAGTTCATCAGAGCGGGAGTTAGAGCGAGAGCCAGACGAGCAGAGTTTGTGGCACTAAAGTGTGGATTTAAACAAAACCGAACAAAAAGTTCAGGATGACAAGGGACACTAAAATCCCCACAAAATCCGACCTTTATGAAAGCTGTAGGTTCTCTGTCAGCTGAGGTTGAGCTGTTTTAATATGCATTGAGTTCTATGGGGAAAATTTCTGGGTAGCCCACGTGAATTTAGTCTGGTTTAGTCTGCAGTACCGCGAGAATCCCCCGAGCACATGAGTTATTCAGCTACAAGCTGTAATACCCTATCCAGTTATTATAATAGATCCATGGGACAGAGCGAGATGTATGTAAAGATTAACGTATTAACATTATGCGAAAAATAAATGGTAGATGTACGATCAGGAAACAATTATTTAAATTAATACATGAAAAAAATTACGTTTGTTAATAATCATTGTCATTAACAAATACTTATAACCAAGGACTACAGCATATATCAATATATTATTCCATTGTATTTTCAATGGAAAACGGACCCGACACTCGTCGACGGAACAAATAGGATTGTTTCTATTTCGTCCGTCCGCGTCCGTTGCACCCTCCGTTGACGGAATACGTCCGACGTGCGTTGGACGGACGCATGCGGAGGCAGTGGAGCCACTTCCATTCACCCTCATGGAGATACGGACGACGGATCCGTCCAAACATGTCCGTTTCATCTCCGTCTCCGTTATTTCCATGAGGGTGAATGGAAGTGGCTCCACTGCCTCCAACATCCGGATTCCATCAACGGAGGGTGCAACGGACGCGGACGGACGAAATAGAAACAATCCTATTTGTTCCGTCGACGCGTGTTGGGTCCGTTTTCCATTGGAAATACAATGAATAATATATATATTAATATATTTACAACATTATTAAACATGTATTGATATATGCTGTAGTCCTGGTTATAAGTGTTTGTTAATGACAATGATTATTAACAAACATGTGTAATTTTTTTCATGTATTAATTTAAATAATTGTTTCCTGATCGTACATCTACCATTTCTTTCGCGTAATGTTAATCTTTACATACACCTCGCTCTTTTTTCTCTTGCTCTGTCCCCTTGGACACTTGCTGTGTCCCCTTGGACACTTGCTCTGTCCCCTTGGACACTTGCTCTGTCCCCTTGGACACTTGCTCTGTCCCCTTGGACACTTGCTCTGTCCCCTTGGACACTTGCTCTGTCCCCTTGGACACTTGCTCTGTCCCCTTGGACACTTGCTCTGTCCCCTTGGACACTTGCTCTGTCCCCTTGGACACTTGCTCTGTCCCCTTGGACACTTGCTCTGTCCCCTTGGACACTTGCTCTGTCCCCTTGGACACGTGCTGTGTCCCCTTGGACACTTGTTCTGTCCCCTTGGACACTTGCTCTGTCCCCTTGGACACTTGCTCTGTCCCCTTGGACACTTGCTGTGTCCCCTTGGACACTTGCTCTGTCCCCTTGGACACTTGCTGTGTCCCCTTGGACACTTGCTCTGTCCCCTTGGACACTTGCTCTGTCCCCTTGGACACTTGCTGTGTCCCCTTGGACACTTGCTGTGTCCCCTTGGACACTTGCTCTGTCCCTTTGGACACTTGCTCTGTCCCCTTGGACACTTGCTGTGTCCCCTTGGACACTTGCTCTGTCCCCTTGGACACTTGCTCTGTCCCCTTGGACACTTGCTCTGTCCCCTTGGACACTTGCTCTGTCCCCTTGGACACTTGCTGTGTCCCCTTGGACACTTGCTGTGTCCCCTTGGACACTTGCTCTGTCCCTTTGGACACTTGCTCTGTCCCCTTGGACACTTGCTGTGTCCCCTTGGACACTTGCTGTGTCCCCTTGGACACTTGCTCTGTCCCCTTGGACACTTGCTCTGTCCTTGGACACTTGCTGTGTCCCCTTGGACACTTGCTGTGTCCCCTTGGACACTTGCTGTGTCCCCTTGGACACTTGCTCTGTTCCCTTGGACACTTGCTGTGTCCCCTTGGACACTTGCTCTGTCCCCTTGGACACTTGCTCTGTCCCCTTGGACACTTGCTCTGTCCCCTTGGACACTTGCTGTGTCCCCTTGGACACTTGCTCTGTCCCCTTGGACACTTGCTCTGTCCCTTTGGACACTTGCTCTGTCCCCTTGGACACTTGCTGTGTCCCCTTGGACACTTGCTGTGTCCCCTTGGACACTTGCTCTGTCCCCTTGGACACTTGCTCTGTCTCCTTGGACACTTGCTCTGTCCCCTTGGACACTTGCTCTGTCCCCTTGGACACTTGCTCTGTCCCCTTGGACACTTGCTCTGTCCCCTTGGACACTTGCTCTGTCCCCTTGGACACTTGCTCTGTCCCCTTGGACACTTGCTGTGTCCCCTTGGACACTTGCTCTGTTCCCTTGGACACTTGCTCTGTCCCCTTGGACACTTGCTGTGTCCCCTTGGACACTTGCTCTGTCCCCTTGGACACTTGCTCTGTCCCCTTGGACACTTGCTCTGTCCCCTTGGACACTCGCTCTGTCCCCTTGGACACTCGCTCTGTCCCCTTGGACACTCGCTGTGTCCCCTTGCTCTCTCCTCACCGCCGTGCGCTCCCATCCACACACACACACACACATTACCCACAGAGCTACTGCACTTATGAGAGACAGATCTCACAACACTGGATATGTTGGAGTTCTTTTCTCTCTCCCATTTTTAGGCCCGAGCCCCAACCGGGGTAAGGGCCTATTGCTTTTCCAACGAGTTGAACTGGGTAAACTGGGTAAACTGGGTAAACTGAAATTGTAAAAGACGAAATTGCAACAATAGCGCCCCCTACAGACTGAGTCAAGTATTACATGGGGAGAATGAGGTTTACCTTTTCAAAGACACACACAATCACTGATCATAGTAATTCAAAATGCAGTGTCGCTCCCATCAGGGGGGCAAAAAAATGGCGTCAGCGCCACTTCCTTTGCGCGGTGCGGCGAGGGCCGTTAGATGCCGCTTGCGGCTTTAATTTATTATTTCTTTTTTCTTCTGCGCTTTGAACCTTAATTTGACCCCCTGAACATTGATGAAAAGTTGTGAAATTTTGCCCAAAATTCAGAACCGGTGAAAAATTAATTTTTTGTGTGTTTATTTTTAAGGGACTAAAAAAATGTCAGAACAGCGCCCCCTACAAAAGTCAATTTACATTGCGCCTATGGGAGGGGGTCGAAGGTCAAGTTTGTCGTAGAGCCACAAAATTCGGTACACATGTTCCTCGGGTCAAGACACGAAAAAAAAGTTATTATGGCTCCGCCCCCTGACAAACAGGAAGCTCATTAATTTAATTGGAAAATGGAAAAATGAAAATTGATCTTTTTCACACATGTCGGCTGGAAATTATCTCCTCCTCGGCCGCTTCACCGATTTGTCTCAAAATCGCTCCACATGGTCTAAACCCATGTCCCATCTATTATTGAATATAGAATTTGGATCAATTAAACGTTGTCCGAGCAGCGGAGCGGCAAAATGTGACATTTTTTGGGGGATTTTTGACAAAAGTAAATTTGCTCCCGTTTGCACAAACAAAGCCGGATTTGCACCAAATTTTAATCCATTGTTCAGCTCCAGGGTCTAGGTCATCTGAAAGTGGAAATATTGAAATTGGCGATCCCCTTGGACACTTGCTGTGTCCCCTTGGACACTTGCTCTGTCCCCTTGGACACTTGCTGTGTCCCCTTGGACACTTGCTCTGTCCCCTTGGACACTTGCTGTGTCCCCTTGGACACTTGCTCTGTCCCCTTGGACACTTGCTGTGTCCCCTTGGACACTTGCTGTGTCCCCTTGGACACTTGCTCTGTCCCCTTGGACACTTGCTCTGTCCCCTTGGACACTTGCTCTGTCCCCTTGGACACTTGCTCTGTCCCCTTGGACACTTGCTCTGTCCCCTTGGACACTTGCTCTGTCCCCTTGGACACTTGCTGTGTCCCCTTGCTCTCTCCTCACCGCCGTGCGCTCCCATCCACACACACACACACACATTACCCACAGAGCTACTGCACTTATGAGAGACAGATCTCACAACACTGGATATGTTGGAGTTCTTTTCTCTCTCCCATTTTTCCAATTGCTTTCAATAAGTTTAGACCACTAGTCCGTTTTACGGACGTCCGACGGACAGCAGCCAACGCGCGTCAACGGAGACGCGCCCGGTGGAGTCCAGACCTCACCGTGGCCATACCTCCAAAAGCACGTCACTTTAGTGGAGACGAGCGAACAGAAATGTTTTCAGATCCTACTCTGTAATCCCAGAGAAAGCTCCTCTGACTGATAATAAGGCTGTAGGATGTTACCATTGTTTTCATAAACTGGTCAGACATAGTTCTAGCACAGTTCATTTGTAAACTTATGTGTTTTCTTTTCAGTTTCAGAGGGTATTCTTGCTTAAATAGAGCCATTAATTGGCTCGGATTCACATTTGTTTCGTGTTTATTGGGCTATTGTTATAAACAACAGTTAAAAAACATTTCTAATGAAGTACATGTTAATTTGTAATGGCTTATTGCTATAATTTCTCAATTTATTTTATTTACAATTGCAAAGGGCCTTCTTGTCTTTTGTTGTTGGTGTTTTGGGCTATTCTATAAATATCTAAATTTTAACCTTTTTCTGACTGACAGTTTAGTATTTATCACTAAAATTGCATAGACTGCAGTTTGTTTACTTGAAAGTAGCTTCTATATAGCAAACTACTTTTGACAGAATTTTGTAACTTAGCTTGCTGCATTTTTATGGGTGGTAGCTTCTGTAAAGTGAAGCTGAATTTATTGTAGAGTAGCTTAGCTAACTGCATAAATCAAGTAGCTTGCTCATCACTGGTAGTTTATGTAGTCACATGTGAGAGCTAGCTGCTAACAGGGGACTGCGAGCGTGTGATATGGAGAGACCATGAGGATTTGTGTTTTATTTTTTTTTATACAGAACTGCAGATAAAGTCAACCAGTGATCCTACATGTGTCGTCGTGGTCCTTAATCAGCCAGCGCACTCCTATGTCAGACTGTACATTTCCCTATTTCTGTTTCTAAAGTTCATTGTATGACGTCATAGTTTATATCTGTTCATAGCCACATGAACAGACCCAGGACTGAGGCTGCAGACCCAGGACTGAGGCTGCAGACCCAGGACTGAGGCTGCAGACCCAGGACTGAGGCTGCAGACCCAGGACTGAGGTTGTAGAAGTGGCTCCTATACAGGGTGGGGGGTGTAGCCCATGGGTCGGGAGCAACCAGCTTTAATTGCAGAACCCGATGTTTGATGTTGAAAGAGAACAATATCATTTCTCACTTCTACCACCATCAAACATATTAGAATTATCTGACGTTGTTGTGTTTGTTGCAGATCTACAAAGTCCATCTACAGAATGGGGTTCACCTGTGATCAGTGTGGAAAGACCTGCAGCTCTGCTTCTGATCTAAAGAGACACCACAGAACTCACACTGGAGGAAAACCATACGAGTGTGATCTGTGTGGAACATGTTTTACTACAAAAGAAGGTCTCAAGGTCCACAACAGAATCCACACTGGAGAAAAACCCTTCAGCTGCGACGATTGTGATCAGAGTTTTAGACAAGAGGGTACTCTCAAAGCTCATCAGAGGATCCACACAGGAGAGAAACCATTTGAGTGTGACCAGTGTGAAAAAACATTTAGGAGAAAAGACCACCTCTCACTACATCAGCATGTCCACACAGGAGAGAGACCTCACCAATGTGACCAGTGTGAAAAGACTTTTACATGTTTATCTGACCTCACTCGTCACTACAGAATCCACACTGGAGATAAACCATTCGTCTGTGGAGACTGTGGGAAGACGTTTACTCACTCTTCAAACTACAAAGCACATGAGAGAATCCACACTGGAGATAAACCATTCGTCTGTGGAGACTGTGGGAAGAAGTTTACTCAGTCTTCACACTACAAAGCACATGAGAGAATCCACACTGGAGAAAAGCCCTTCAGCTGCGACGATTGTGGTCAGAGTTTTTCTCAGAGTGGTTCTCTCAAAGTGCATCAGAGGATCCACACTGGAGAGAAACCCTTCAGCTGCGACGATTGTGGTCAGAGTTTTTCTCTGAGTGGTTCTCTCAAAGTGCATCAGAGGATCCACACTGGAGAGAAACCCTTCAGCTGCGACGATTGTGGTCAGAGTTTTTCTCTGAGTGGTCATCTCAAAGTGCATCAGAGGATCCACACTGGAGAGAAGCCCTTCAGCTGCGACGATTGTGGTCAGAGTTTTTCTCAGAGTGGTCATCTCAAAGTGCATCAGAGGATCCACACTGGAGAGAAACCCTTCAGCTGCGACGATTGTGGTCAGAGTTTTTCTCGGAGTGGTCATCTCAAAGTGCATCAGAGGATCCACACTGGAGAAAAGCCATTTGCATGTGACTTCTGCAGTAAAACCTTTAAAACAGCAGCACATCGCACACTTCACCATCGGAGCCACACTGGAGAGAAGCCGTACGAGTGTGACCAGTGTGGAACATGTTTTTCCCAAAGAGGAAATCTTGACCAGCACAAAAGAATCCACACTGGAGAGAAACCCTTCAGCTGCGACGATTGTGGTCAGAGTTTTTCTCGGAGTGATTATCTCAAAGTGCATCAGAGGAGCCACACTGGAGAGAAACCATTTGTCTGTGAAAAGTGCGAAAAGTCTTTTACTCAAAGTTCATCTCTTACTAAACACATTAAAACCTGTAGAGAAGCAGGTCTGAAGCAGGTCTGAAGCATCTGGACCAAAGTGAAGGAGACAGAGCTGAGGCTGCATCCTGTGAACCCAGAGTCAGACTCTACAGGATCTCACTTCAGTCTTAACTCCTGGTTTGGGGAAAGAATCCATTCTGTTCTGTGTTTCATTTTCATGTTTGACTTTTCTGTTCCTTGTTGTGACTCTATGATGTTGGTTTGTTGTGTCTTTTGTCACAAGCTGGCTCTGGGCCTGTGACAAATTGAGGGACAGACAGGTGTGGTCGTTCAATATGTTTATTTTAAATAATAAAGACAACAACAAAAGATAATAAAGAATGAGGTGTGAGTATGTGAGCCGTGGAATGTGTTCAGTGTGTGCAGGTCAGTGAATGAAAACCAGTGTATGTGTGTATATGTCTGAGTGTGAAACTAAAGCTAATTTTAACAAATGACAAAACAAAGAATAAAAGTTCCAGTACCTGGAGGGAGCAGAGAGAGAGTGTTAGTAAGATACACATTCTTCTTCTTCTTCTAATTAATTCCGGCAGGCTGTACGCTGGCGTGCGCAATGCTGTCCTCCACAGTTATGAGACCGTCAGTACTCTAAATTCTCAAAAAAGTGCCTGTGCGGCGGAGGAATAAAACAATGGCTCTGTTAACTCCTTGAGTGTTTTCACGATTTGAAAAAAATTGACTTAAATGAAAAAGAAGTTAGCCCCAAATCAGCCAATTCCACAAATGGTTGTTGTCGTTCCTTGGAGTATTTGCTGCATGACAACAAGATGTGAGAAACAGTCTCCAATGTCCCACAAATGCACAGTCCATCTGCATGTTTACTTATTCTATACAAAGAAGCTGCAAGTCCACAGTGCCCCAGTCTGATTCTAGTGAGAACCACTTCCTCTCTACGCCCCTCAGCTACAGGCTGCCAACTATTTTGGACTGATGATTGACATGAATAACAGAGTCTCCCCCTGGTCTCCCTCTCCCACTCTTTCTGACACTGACTTTGAAAATATTTTTTACTAATGCTGTAACACTCTTTTTTCCCCAAATGAAGATGATAATCTATAGCGTCTCTATGAAGTGATTCTTTGGCCAGAGCATCAGCCTTTTCATTTCCCTCCACCCCTGAATGCCCAGGGACCCAAACAAACGAAACAGAGGCACCCACATCCTCAATTTGTTTCAAACAGCACAAAATCTCCAAGAGCATATCTGGCCTGGCCTCTGACTCCATACTCCTAAGGGCCAGTAGTGCAGCAGCAGAATCAGAGCAAATAACAGCTTGTAAAACATTGCGTTTTTTAATCCACCACAGTGCCCACAATATAGCAAATAATTCAGCAGAAAAAATGGACAGCTCGTCTGTAATACGGACGCTTTGCATAATTTGCAACTGAGCGATATAAATTCCAAAACCCGTTCTTTGCGGCTGCTCTTCTTTAGAACCATCAGTGAAAACTTTGACAACATCTTTTTGCTCATTTAAATACATCTTTACATGCCTGGAAGCAGCCGCTTTATCCATACCAAGCAAATCCACATAAACCTCAGGCTCAGGCAACCTCCAAACCTGAACTGGAGACCACCCCCACCCCACCACTCTATCCTTCTGCAGTCCCAAGTTCTCTGCAACCTTCGCAACATGCGTTATAAAACCTCCCTTGTCCTGTTTTTTGCTGAACTCCCAGCACTCATCCAAAAGGCATTTTGCTGCTACACTATTACTGGCCCCGGCCAATCTAGTCCAATACTGAACACCGAGCTTCTCCCGTCTCATTCTTAAAGGAAATTCACCCATTTCCACAAGCAATGCTGGGATAGAGGTAGTTCTGAATGCTCCACAACAGATTCTTAGGGCTTTAGTCTGCACACGATCCAAAACTTCTAACACAGATTTAGAGGCACTCCCAAAAACTACACTGCCATAATCTAAAATAGGCCTAATCATAGCCCTGTAAATCAGCTGTAAGGTATACCTTTCTGCCCCCCAGTCACTACCTGAGAGACTCCTCATAATGTTAATAACTTTCTCACATTTGCTAACCATTTTCCCAATATGGTCTCTCCAAATTAGTTTTTCGTCAAACCACAGCCCCAAGAATTTCAACTTTTTAACCTTTTCAATAACTGATCCATACATGTAGAGATTACAACAGGGAATGTTTTTCTTCAACCCAAAAATCCTAAATTTACTTTTGTCAATTGACAATTTGAACCCCCAACAATTTGCCCACTGAATAATTTGATCTAAAGCTTTCTGTGTTTGAGAGAACAAATGATTGAGGTTCCTCCCGCTCTTCCAAATTGCACCGTCGTCAGCAAAGAGAGATTTACCAAATCTGTAATCCACTCCTTCAAAAATATTATTAATCATTATGTTAAACAATACTGGGCTAATCACTGTTCCTTGTGGTGTTCCATTGGCTACCTCTACAGCACCTGACAATACATTTCGAATTCTCACCTGGATTGATCTATCACTAAGGA